GTTAGGGGTAATTTAGTAAGTATAATGTTAATTAGTCACATTTTCAAAAATTAAAGAGAAAGTTAACTTTTTTTGTCCATTTGCTAATTTTTAGTAATATTGGTGACCTAACCCCAAATATTAAACCATCAAATAAATGATATTTGGAAATACAGTCTTTTATTTTATATTTTGATACGGAGTATTAGTGTTTGATTAGTTAAATGAATGAATTTTTAGTGAAAATTTGCTCTATATCATTTTTGGTATATATTCTGATAGTTGACATTATTAAAAATCATTTTCAAAATACATATTATAAATAATTTTTGGTATTGAGAACAAACTATTCTCTTACCATGCACATAGTCACAGAGATAAAATCAATGAGTACATGAATAATTGGTAAGAGATTTAATTCTCTTAAGAAATTATAAAATTATGGTAAAAGTCTTTTTATTCGTGTAAACATGTAGATATTGATGATTACTGGTCATTATTTTATTATTATACGTAGTACTTCGTACTAGGTACTTTGAGTACATCCATGCCTAACCATATTATTATAAGTTCAAATACTTTGTTATTATTGTACGGAGTGATATTATTTTATTGATTCTGTCCTTGAATATAATTTTTAGTACGCCAGTAAGATTTGGGCTACTCCGCAATTTTCTTTTAATTAGAAAAAGAAAAGGACGAAACATAAACTACTTGTCTGGTCAGCTCGTCCCTCACTCCTGCCCCGCTGTTTTCTCTGTGTTCGACTAAATTAACGAGAAAGGTCTACAGAGCTGTGCCCGTACGGCTGTATATAGTTAGTTTATCACATAGTCGAGACTCGACAAGAAAGTATTCAGTTTCTTCGTTCAGTAATCGCTTCAGATTCTTGCACAGCATATATTTTTCTCCATTCTTTCTTCGTCTCTGCTTTCTGCAATTTCACGTTCTTCATGGAACTCCCAACTGATGGGATAAGATGAGCAGTACAACCAAAACCTTGCATCATCACCATCCTTTTTTTGTTTCTTAATGAGTATATCTCAATCTGTTGACAAAGGTATGAACTTCCCTCTTCCTTTTCATCAGAAGCTGATTTTTGTTCTCTTCTGTTCCACAAATTCTGAAACCACCCAATTCTCAAGAAAGATTTTGGTATTCTGAATTTGGGCTTTCTGCATATATACACCTTAGTCTCATAGTCGTTCTATGTCCATTGGGTTAGAAAGTTGTGATTTTTGAAGAGTTGTGAAGAGAATGGTGGTAGCTTGGTAGGCAGAAATGTCATTGACCTGCTGCGTGCCAATTGTTGAATGTGTGTACTGTTTAGCCTGTGCCCGTTGGGTCTGGAAGAAGTTCCTTTATACCGCGGGTCGGGAAAGTGAAGGCTGGGGCCTGGCGACCTCAAGTGAATTCGAGCCTGTCCCTAGGCTTTGCCGGTATATTCTATCGGTGTACGAGGATGATCTCAGAAACCCGATTTGGGCCCCACCCGGAGGATATGGTGTTGATCCTGATACGATTGTGGTGAGGAGAAGCTATGAGGACACTAAAGGAAAAGTGGCACCTTATATGATATACCTTGATCATGAAAATGAGGAAATAGTTGTAGCCATTAGGGGTCTCAATTTGGGAAAGGAGAGTGATTATCTTGTCCTTCTAGATGACAAACTCGGGCAGGCCGAGTTCGATGGCGGTTATGTTCATAATGGTCTGTTGAAGTCAGCCCAATGGTTGTTGGAAAAGGATTCCGAGGTTTTGGGAGAACTAATCGAGAGACACCCGAACTATACCTTGACATTTGCTGGGCATTCTTTAGGGGCAGGAGTGGTGACATTGTTGGCAATGTTAGCTGTTAAGAACAGGGAGCAATTGGGTAACGTGGAGAGAAAAAGGATCAAATGCTACGCGGTTGCTCCCGCAAGGTGTGTTTCGCTAAATTTGGCAGTCCGATATGCCGATATCATTAATTCTATTGTATTGCAGGTATGTAGAGGTTTTTATAGCATTTTCCCGTTCTTTTTTCTTTGAACTTGTGGTTTTTATAAGCTGATCTGGTAACTATTCCTTGGAATTTATTATGTTTAAATTCAAGTCTTATCAGATTGGAAAATCTTAAGATATCATAAAATTTGAACGAAATTATTAGCATGGTATACTTTATATATACTTCAGGATAAATATCAGCTCATTATTAGCATGCTATACTTTATATATACTTCATGATAAATATCAGCTTTTATCATTTCGTCCATCTTTCATTCCTTAAGAGTTACTTTTTGCACTAAAACACAACCTAACAATTACTTTTTGATACCTAATCAGGACGATTTCTTACCCCGGACTCCAGTAGGACAGGAAAATGCGTTCAAGTCACTTTTCTGGTAAAAGATTATAGTTACATCTCTTGCTTCCTTCGAGTATAATTTGAAATTATATATGATCATGTAGGTAAATGCTCCTGGAGAAAATGATAACAGTGCGTCAATTTGTGTGTTTTTCCCCATCAAGCTAAAGCAACTTATAAAAAATTTAACCTGTAGAAATTTCATGAAACTATAGTACCATTATACTCCCTCCGTCCCGCTATTAACTTCCTACTTTCCTTTTTGGGCCGTCCCAAAATAATCTTCTCATTTCCCTAAATGGAAAGTTATCCAACATCAAAACAGTGTCAAACAGTGCCAAACAGTGTCTAAACAGTGTCTAAACAGTGCCAAACAGTGTCTAAACAGTAAAGTCAAATTTATTTCCTAAATATGTGTGTAGGTCAAAGTAAGAACTTAATAGAGGGACGGAGGGAGTATCATTCAACTTTTACTTTACTAATATCCATTATTAACTTATGATAGTTTCCCATGTGTGCTCTGCATAAAGTGCCTGCAAGATACATGCACTAAGGAGGAGAAAATGCTTAAAGATCCAAGACGCCTCTATGCAGCTGGGCGTCTTTATCACATTATTGCTAGGAAACCCTTCAGGTTAGTAGATGTTTTTATACGAGAGTTTGGGAGGGACTGGTGTTTTAGTAGACATAAGAAAGTGAACTCCCGTGAAAATAAAAATAAAACAGGTAACTTTTTTGGTTGTTCAGTTGGCAGACTAGCAATTAGCAAAGAGTACGACAAACCTTTTCATTACAAAGACTAAACGATATCCATGTTTGATCAAGAACCCAAGTGAGGCTCACCTTCAATTCAATGAAAAGACACTGATGGAGTTATCCAATATCAGCTAAATATGAATTAATGAACGCTTAAACAAGTTTTCGGGGAGTTCTTTGAGATTTCTCTTTTGGGAATGAGTTAGGCCAACATTTTTTCTTAATATGGTATGAGATCCGGATTTATCCGATAAGTAAACACAGATGTAGCCATTAGGAGGATGGGGGAGGTGAGTTATCCCATATCAGCTAAATATAAATTTAATTAAATAACCTATTGATAATTGTTGGACAACCCATTATCTCTTAAGGGCTGTTTTAGGGTTGATTTAGGAAACACATGATATATTATTTCCTCCTTGCTGCAGCTTTGCAGAGATATCACCACTTGTCAGAACAGCTATACCTGTGGATGGACGGTTTGAACACATTGTTCTTTCCTGCAAGTTGCTATCTGATCATTCAATTTTGTGCATACTGAAAGAATCTCAAAGAGCACTTGAAGTGAGTATTATGCAGCAATTCTTTTAGGCCAATTGTATGGTAGTTCCTCTTTGGCTTTCTGTTGGCCTGTTTTATTCAGCATTACTTTGTACAGACATTGTTAGAGAAAGATAATGCAATGGATATTCCCACACATCAGAGAATGGAGCGTGATGAATCTCTTGCCAAGGAGCACATACAGGAGCACAAGGCGGCATTACAGCGGGCAGTTGCACTGGATGTTCCTCAAGCATATTTGCCTTCTTCTTATGGTACTTTTCATGAACTTGAGGGAGGATAGATTTATCAAAAACCTCAAAAGTCCTCTTTCACGACATTCAAAACAAGAAGGGAAAGGTGGAATGATTTAGCCTGGTGTCTTGAAGGCCAAATAGACCAATCATCATGGCAACACATAATTACAACATAATTAGGAAATATAGTGCTTTTTATTTTTATTTTGGGTGTTCCATTCTTCCTCCATATAAGAAATGTCCTACTAATAGCTACAAGCGGTAAGTGAAATTGAAATTAAAATTTTTTATTCATTGTGCTAGAACAGTGGTATAGATTTTCAAGAAGTTAGTTTCCTTGCCCGGGATATTTTGTATACTTACTTAGATTTATCTACCCTTGTAATAAATAATATGTGAATCCTATGTATAATTGGATTTATCTCCCCCTTGTAATAAATATGGAGTAATATGAGAGAGTAAGTTTAATTTTCTGCCAACCAGTTCATTAATGAAGTAATGAAACTCTAATGTATTAGTTGTTTCATTGTTTGTAGAAGAGTCGTTTTGCATCCAATTATTTTGTGTCAAGTCTAATCTGCTATTGTTTGAAGTTTCAAAACATGAAACTTGAATTCATTCATACAGTTCACTTATGTATACAATATAAATCATGATAATGTTTTCCATACATGGATTGTTTTGAATTTTAAAAATCATATGCTCCGTACATGCGGAGTTATGCGCATTAAATCCGAGGAAAACCTGAAGTTTTCAACCCTGTATATGAATATTGTGTCGATGATAAAAGGATAATTGTGGTATTCATTGAGCACAGCAAGTTCTAGCAAGGTTAGACATTGTTAGAGAAGATAGATATTGACTTGTGTTACATACGAATAAGTAACAAATGTGATTAAGAAAATCTCAATGTTTAAGTTTCAACCCTAGAGAATTCGTCCTTTCTCATAAGATGCAGGGACTTCACTAGTTATTGTGAAGAAATAAAGAATAACTCCATTGCACAATAACAAGCTTAACCATAAAAATCATAATGAACCTAGATAATGGTGTAGCTTTGCTTTACACAACAAAAACTTCAAAAGGAAATCAAAGGAACACAACAATGTCTCTTTGTTGTGCGTACATAACATTGCATTAATTAATTCCATTTTATTTTCTAAATTTTGCAACACCAAAAATACAATAAACAAAAACAGAGAAGAAATACAAAGTTGTTTACTTCACCACACGTGAAGTAAACAGTTCTTACAAACTTTGATCTTTCATTAGCTTTCCTCAAATCAGTAAGAACAAAAAAACTAATGGAAGTAGGGAATTAGATAACTAATTTAATTTGAGAAATTGCAGCTATAAAAAGCATTATTGTGCAAGTTCAATGAGATAGCATCGCTACACAAAGAATACTGCTATCCCTTTTGGCACTGTAAGAAACGGTTTGCCTAAAGTTATCTTCATGACGAATTCTAGGATGCTCCAACCATGCATATCCGTTAAAAATGGTGATCATCTGCTGGTTAAGTTTATGTGCCTAACGGCGGTGCCAATTCATCATTCTTTCAGGTCAGACCTAGCCATTCTTATCTTGGAGACTATTGTGCAAACATCAGCATCTCCATCAGCATGATCCACTATGTTAACTTGGACATTCGCCTCGTTTGGTGCCTGTCACTCCAAATATTTATTACCAGCTCGCAACAATTACAGCACTTCCAGTTAAAATTCTTTTCGGCAGCTTGACCTTTTTATGAATCTTTTCTTGTTGTCATTCCAGAAACCATGAGTGTGTTCCTCAATTCGAACCTGAAGGATATACTCCTGACCATGCCTTCAACATGTATTTAGTTGGATTCCCCACTAGGAAAGTGTCATTCCAAACCACTCATCTGCCGTAGTTTCTGCTGAAGAGTAGTTGAAACTTGAAACTCCTTCACCCTACTAATCTTGGTCTTTGAATCCGCCATCTTATAATCATATTAACAGTTAGTTGATCCAGGTTTAGAGAGACGGAGCTTAGAGAAGGAAAGTAAGTTGTGTGTTGATTGTAAGAATGAAAAGGCACCATTTTCCAAAACCAGGAGGGGGTATTTATGAAGTTTTCTAACGGTACCACCATTCACTTTATCAACAGACACATTTCTTAAGCTTGTGAAACATTTTATGTAGAAACAGGTTCCTTAAAACAATATGTTCCTTCCCTTACAAAATCATAGGAGCATAACAATTTGAAGGCAGTTTGTTTTTCCAGTGATAGATAAAATGGCAACCGTTGATATAATTACATATTAGTTGGACATATACTATCCTTTTTTTGTTTGTTTAGAATATTGGAAAAGCAATCACATTCAACGACTTCAACTAAACCAACTCACTAAATCTACCAACAGCCGTTAGTAACATAAAAGCATGACATGGCTGTCCAACTGTCAGAGTCTTATTTTACAATGTATTAAATTTACAGAGTTTTTGGCTATCTTTATATGTTTTCCTAAACTTTTTAACTTCCAAGTCTTATTCATATTTTCTTTCCTATTATTTTCTGGGTTCTAAACAGGCCCTTAATGAACAGCAGAAATTATATACGAAGCACGGTGCAGTACCTCATTCCTAGCACATGGGGGAAGAAACTGAAATTGAGCTGCTGGCATGGCTGCACGCCACACATACTCGGGACCAAGTATAGATATTTATTTCAGGATGCTCAAGATTCAACTAGTTATCTTCTTTGATCAATTCCCCAAGTTTCTTTTTTTATAATGAGTTTCTATAGTTCTATAGTCATAGTTGACCTCTACTTTGCTCTCTGCCGGGGGGATGCCATAGCCCTCTAAAGTATATCATTCACAAAGATCAAAAGAGTTTCCTCCACCAACTCCTCTAGAACAGCTTCTTCTATCCTAAAAACAATGTTTAAGAGATCATATTTCAGGTCCATCCATGCTGCAGGCCTTGCCATATCTTTTTCGACTAGCGGATCCAAAGAATGGGTGGGTGGTGGAGTGTTGTTGAGATGATACCACCATTCAACTCCTTTCCAGACCTCTTGGATTAGGTCCATCCCCTTTGGAGCTGATCGAAGGCTGTGTTTAACAAATGACATGCCAGTGAACTGGGCAATGTAGCGGCCACATATCTCAGAAAGAACATCGTTCACACAATCAAAGAGGAGTTTTTTACAGGACCGATCAGTCAGTAACTCTATTTCATCAAACAGCGATGGATCAAGAATCTGATCTGAAGAAAGCCAGCTTAATATATATTCATCCCAATTTAATCCTGAACCTAGCAGCACCGCTTCGACATATTCAAATGCAGACTCTTCATTTTCAGAAAAAGTAAACATATCAAGTTGTTGGTCCAATGAAGCTGCTGGTTCCTTGAAATGAACACTCGGAGGTTGAATTGGGAGTTCAACTGCAGCAGACACATACAGAGACTTCATTCATGAAAGCTCAAATCATGAAAATGGATAATACTATAATAATGCCAAGTAACATTTAGGAAACGTCAAAACATCCTAACCTGAATGGTACACAGTGCTGGAAGGATTGACGTCTGGGGGAGCCGACCAACAACATAAATTTTCTTTTTCCCCACAGGAATCCTAAGAAATAAAAGTCGTGTATGATTATGGAATGGAGTCATACTCATCATGAAATAAATGTGCATTAAGAAAACAAATATAACATAAGTACTTAAAAGTCTTATACGTGAGTTTGATCTTTATATTTGGTTTGAGACGGCTTAACCGTCTCCGTAGCAGCTTGTGGGAGTAGACCAATTTTGATACTCTTTTTTGGCTTGAGTCAAATCGGTTGCTTCTTTGAGCTTAAATGGCTCTAATATAAGATTTAAGAAACGAATGCATCAACTTGATAGGAGTACTCCAAACATTCATACGTGCGTCTGTTCTTATATTTTGTGGGTTTTGCCGGAAGAGTAGTCCTATGCCTTAAATGTGAGTTTGTAACTTCATATTCAGTCAGTATGAGATGACTTAATAGATAATGATGATGATGATGATGATGAGATGACTTAATAGATAAAGCACAAGGCAAGATAAAAGAAAACAACTACTTACGGATAAATATCTGGATGCAACTTCTGAGATTTTGAAGGAGGTTTCTTCGTCCACCATTTGTGTGACATCATGTCCACTATCTATGGTAACTGGAAAGCTATTTCGCTCACAAGAGGCACCTAAAACCTTTTCATCCTCCTGGTATCCAGTTGGGGCTGATTCTTCCCTATCTAGAATAGTTAGGAACAGAGAAATTAATTTAAAAGTGTGAGCATTGGAGAAACATAAAACAGAAATATGAAATTTTCCTAAGCCCAAGGGTACCTGATTTAGCTACTTCATAATTACAAGAAGAAATGTCTATTTCCAATAAATTGTCACAAGTAAGGTCACATGGAACTTCAACCCTTGCATTAACCTGTTCTGAATTGATCCCTGCAGCAAAAGACTGAACCTCACGAGGAAGATCCTCACAAATTAACTCTTCCTCTTTTTTGTGTTTTCCCTGAAGAGGGGTGTTTGATATATCCAGCTTAATATACTTAGATTCTTCATTTTCAATGTCTTTTGCCTTGCCTTTTGTATCTCCTCGTGTGAAGTTAAAGGGAGGGTTTGCAAATCTCTCGATGTAAAAATGGTTTCTGTTTGGAGAGCTCCATCCATTATTTTCTCCACTGATCCCAACTTTGTTGGTATTATTGTGCTTTTTACGAATGGTCAAGTCCCTGGGGATCTCTTGCCATTCTTTTCCCATGGCTTTCTTCAGCCTTTTTTTAATCTCTGTGAACGAGAAGTGCGATAAGTTTTTCACATTCTGCTCTAACTTATTGACCAAGGTATGTGAAGGGTGTAAGCCAGCAGTTGAAGGTTTTAGAATTACAATTTTGGTAGAATGATGGGATCTCTCATATTCCATTGAAGGATGGTGGTAGCTTTCCTGACTCTTGCTTCTCCTGCGAAAAAAGTGGCACTTTCTTGTTTTAACTTTATCATCTTTCTGCATCACATTAGATTTAATATGCCTTGTGGTAGTTGTCCTCCCTTCCTCACCTTCATCCTCTAAGCTCTCAATGTGCTTCACCAGCCTAGATTTTGGATCTCGTAAGAGTCTCCAGCATAATTCCTTATTGCAGCTTAGTGTTTTCAAAGCATCTATAAACTCTTTGGAGTTATCAATTACCTCATCTTCTCCCAAGCATCTAGCATTCTTCAATTTGTGGCTTACACACATGTCAATGGCTGCACCTAACTTTGCTTCAAGAACTACATCAACTTGATCTGGCAGTTTGGTATCAGAGTTGAGATCATCCAAATCAGGTAGAGACATACTTCTTCTGGATCTATCATAAGTTTCATATGTCCTCTTGGAGTTCCACTTTGTAACGCTCCTTCCCTTGCGCAAACTACATGCTCCAGGATCAAGTTCAATGTCATTTCTCTGTTTCTTAAGATTTTGCTCATCAGCTAACATATCTTCTTCAATCAGTTCCTTCACACTTGTCTTAAACTCTAGAGTCGCTGCCACACTTTTATCAACATCCTGAACCTTTTAGAATATCTACTATGAGATTTGATTTTTATTAGATGAAATAAAGACAAATATATGACATAAATAAAAGTAATGGAGAAAATAAGACTTCTACAGCTGAATGGTAATGGTGGTATTTTCACACAAACTGTAGTGCTATGTTGATGTTCAAATGTGTTTTGTAGTGACCATCATCTTATTTTTTCAGTAACTGCAGTAACCATGCAGTCATATTTTGCCAGTAAGTTAAATTTTACTCCGTAGTAATTATAAAAAAACAGAACTTATTGAACACGTACAAGTTTACTTTCAGATTTTCTTCATTAGTTGCCTTGAACAAATAGCACCTAAAAAAAAGATCAGAAAACATTGCTCAAGAAGGGGCTGAAATTACCCACCTTGACATTAAAACTCTTTTCACACGGATTTGGCGCTTCGAACTTCATACATGAATTAGAGTTTTCATCATGGCAGATTGCTTTGTCAACTTCTTTTCTAGATTGCCTTCTGTCTGCAAGTGGGTTTTTAATTGACCGGCCACTGCGCAAGTCAAACACGTTAACGTAGCCCCAGATCCAGCCATTGTGATCTTTCTTCCACTGCAAAGGAGGAAACCTCTCTGCTCTATTTGTCATCACGGCAGATCGCTTTGTCATTAATGTGCCAAGTTAATCCAGAGATTGTTAGACCATTCACTGATCAAACTAATATGTATAGAGCAAGATATGAGATTTTATAGGTTCAACATGTTTGGCTCTGAGAAATCAAATTTAAGAAAACAAACAAAGCAAATAAAGAACATGCTTTTAGACTAATCTGGAAAAAGTTTACAATCAGCAAATCCTCAAAGAAATCCCAAGGGTACACTAAAATTGCAAATTGAAATTCAAGCTTTTGTGAATACTTTTACATGAGAAAATATATTGTAATTGAATCTTGAAAAAAAGATCAACGAACTAACAACTTCCAAAAAAGAGGCATACTTTATTAAGGCTATTTCCCATTCATGCCAACTCTAGTGAAGGGGAGCAATTATGCATCATCTTCACTGCTAGCTGCAAAATAACATCAGCTGGAAATCTGTAGAAACATTTAGCCAATAGAATTAGATTGTGCAATTGGAAAATATTTCAGCAATGCATATTTAGCCAACAAAATATTATATTTCAAATGCGCAAGTTTACAACATGCAAACAGAGTGGAGATCAAGGAACTCTAGCGTTGCCTCACTGGAAAGGAATAAAAATATTTGCTAATCTCTTTTCAACAACAAGCAAGCATCATTTTGCTTAGAACATTTGGCAATGTGAAATATTCTCTCAGTGGGAAACAGTGCCTAAAGGGTTTTCCCAAAATATGACCTATCAACAATAGTACTAATTAATTACAAAATACAATCACCCGTACAACTATTCTATATTCTACGTAGCAAATCCAACACAGCAATCCAGAAATCAACATATGATCTCTCTCTTCCAAGTCTAGATAAAGGACACTTAACTCCTTCCAAATCACAAAGATCCATTTCGTTAACCCAAAAACCTGGCAAACCTAATATCGACTTAGAGAATCCGAGACACACAAATCTTCTAACCTCCCATGATATGAATATAAAAAAGATCTCATATATAGTCTGATATATTTATTTATTTTCGATACCTTTTCCATTGGCATTGGGGTATCTATTCCGTCAACCGACCAAAAATACCGAGGGAAAAACACCGCCCCTCCAATCCATACACACAGATAAAAGCGATGGTGACGACAGTCTAGTGAGGGATATTTTTGATAAGTGGTGGGACCAAGAGCAGCATCTCGTCATTCTTCCACTAGGAACGGGGAAAGGAAAATGCATCAGGTCCTGCGGAAGTTATGATTTCAGAACCATTTGACTTTTTCGCATACACTTTCTGATTTTGTTGGGTTTTTATCAATTCCAGTTTCCCATTCCTTTTAGCAGGTTTTGAGGATGTTCCACGATCAAGAACCATAGGGATCATCATAACCCCGCACTTGTCTATCTTATAGCAAGCCAATTGTGAAGTGCCAGTGTATGAACACCCAAAGTCTGTCCCGAGTCATGCCCCATTTAAAGAAAAATACGATCTTTATAAGCAACCATATTAATTTTTTACACTGAATTTGTTTATTTGTTTATTCCAATCTAACATTGAAATAGGGAGGCCCGAGGAGGTCAGCGCAGGTACAAGAAACAAAATCGTCTACAAGAGGATGACTCGGTGACTCAGTTCATACAATCATACATGGAAGGAATTACTACGTATGATGTAACCGTTGTCGCCAGAGAAAAATGCATTTTTATACGGAGTATATGCCCTTAAGGTTAACCGCAACTCAGTTCTGTCAATAAATCAAATTCTCCACAACATTATACGTATTCATTCGGTCAATTCAGTTTTTGTTGCAATCCAGTACCGTCAATATATATTCACCTAACGAAGTTCTTTTTAGTTGTTGTCTTACTTTTATTATTACAAATCAATTTGTTTCTAGTTTTTTTGTTGCGAATAGTTACGATTCGAAAAGCTAAACGTTACGATGTAAAAATAAATAAATTTAGAGTTAAATATTTTTTTTGTTCCGAAAAGCTTGTGTAGTTGAGACTTATTTTTTTTGACTTAATATATTCAATATTGGTGTCATATGAAAGATAATAAAAAATTATGAATTTTGGTATACATTTTATAAAAATTCAAATACAAAAATAAAAGTTAGAATAGTTTAAAGGAAAATGGGATTTATTTTTTCATCTTGGCCCATCCTTTCACGCAGCAGAGGCTAGCCATTCTTCCATGAATAAAGCTACCGGATTCCACTCCCAAGGGGCCTCCAACCCACTTCGGTCCTTCTCAATACATTGGATTGCACTTGTTTTGGGGTGAAAAGCTCAAAATTGGCTTTTTCACCCCAAGGTTGCAATCAGCCTAATAGAAGCAAAATCATACTACTTCCTAAATAAAAGTTTAGGAAAAAGTTTAGGTAAGTTTAAAATTGTTTGAAATTTTATTTAAAATTGTTTGAATAATGAGTTGTGTTGCTTTAAATGAAGGTATTAGGTAAGTTTTAGAAGAAAAAATTACTACCTCTGTCCCGTAAAGATGTTCCAAAATGAAGTTCTCATTCCCATAAAAGGAAATCACTTTTATCCCAAAAGTCGTAACTACTCTTACTTTTTACTCACTTTTTGCTTGACTTGACATAAAGTAAGAGCAAACTTGGAAAGTCAAAACAAAACTCTACCTTACATAAATATGTGTGTAGGTCAAACCGAGAACTTCATTGCGGGACGGAAGGAGTATTACATTATTTAATAAGTATTCAATTGATTTGAGTATTAGTAATTAGATTAAGATTTTTTTATATTAATGGGGACTCAATTTTAAACTTGGAACTGGGCCCTCCAAATTCATTAGACGCCCTGAGTCCAATCCTAATTTTCCACAAATAGGAGTGTCAGCATTAATTTTCTACTCCCAATACTCCTAATCAAATTAATTCATATGACTAATTGCCCCATGTTCCATTGGATAATCGGGGCAGTCCGTTGATGGCGGAATAGTTTGGTGGTGGTCGGGCAATCCGGCGGCAGCACGCATGCAGACCGTTGCTAGAGCTTTGGCGGTCAGCGACACTATAACACGACACTGTAGCGGCGACACGGTAGCAACGACTGCAGCACGGCATTGTCGCGCGACACTGTAACACATTACTGTAGCAGCTTCGAGCTTGCACCAATAGTGGGGCTATTGTTGTCTAATTAAAAACAAAACTCATATTTTGGGAATATTAGCAACTACTCCTATTTTTTTTACCTTTTATCGTGTTTTACTCCTAGTAAGAAAATTATATCATACTACGTATAAGATTCAAACAAATGTATTAGCAAAGGTCTAGAATGGAATGGGCCAGGCCCACCACATAAGAGTTGGGCTTAAGGTGTGATCTCTGTATCAGCCCTAGACCTCGCCCCACTGAATAGAAAACTTTTGCTATCTTCTTGATTCTTGAATTCAAGGCCGTTTTTTAGGGGGTTCAATAGGTTATCAAGAATAGGGCCCCCGAATTTATGGGGCCCCAAAATTTTAAATTCTTCTAGTATTATATAGTATGGAGTAATATTATATATTAATACTAATCAGTAAAATACAATTAATAAAGAAGAAAAATATAAATGCATCATTTTTCGTTAATGCCTTTGCTCTTTTAGTTCTTTTTAATGAGTATTCAATTGATTTGATTCTAAGTATTTGGATTGATATTTAAAAAAAATTATATTAATTTGGGGTCTCGGTTTTACGTTTAGAACCGAGGCCTCCAAATTCATTGGACGGCCCTGCTTGAATTGTTTTGTTTGTGTTAAATAATACCAAATAGAAATACTATAAATATGTGTACTGCGGTGAAGGAATAAGAAGCTTTTGTTGACCGAATTCATTTTTGCTCTCTTCAAACATTAGCTAGTTAGTTACTCTCTAACAAATTGGTATGAGAGAGGAGGAATAGGACTGTACTCAACATGGTAAGAAGTATGATTAAAGGTAAGAGTTTACCTCATAATCTTTGGGGAGAAACTGTATCAACTGTTGTCTACATCTTAAACAGATCACCTACAAAAAGACTGAGTAATCAAGTTCGTGAGGAAGTGTGGTCTGGACAAAAGCCATTTGTAACTCACTTTAAGATTTTTGGATGTTTATGTTATAAACATATCCCTGATCAAACTAGAAAGAAATTGGATGACAAAAGTGAATCTATGGTGTTTGTAGGTTATAATTCCACTGGCTCATATAGGCTCTATAATCCAAGGTCCAAGAAGATTGAGTATAGTAGAGATGTTATATTTGATGAATAGGAATTCTGGAAACAGGATGCTGCTCATACTGATACTTCACAAGTAAGGATGGAGATTGATTGTGAAGAAGTCAACACTCACAGTAATGAATCAGATAACAACAATGACAGTATGGTTGAGAGAGCTGAACTCTGACCAACAAGAGCTAGAACTATTCCTCACAGACTGAGGGATTATCAACTTTTCAGAGATACTGAGATCAATGACCAAGGTGATCCCATCTATTTAGCCTTGCTAACCAATCTGGACTCAGTAGGATTTGAGGAAGCAATTACCCAACCAGTCTGGGTTGATGCAATGAAGGAGGAACCGAGATCCATTGAGAAAAATCAAGTATGGGAACTTACTGATCTGCCTATTGGTAAAATACCAATTCCTGTTAAATGGATTTTCAAGCTCAAAACACATGCACGTTGATGGTTCAATTGCAAAATTTAAAGCTCGTTTGGTAGCAAAAGGGTTTATGCAGAAGCCTGGGATTGATTATTCAGAAGTGTTTGCTCATGTTGCTAGGTTTGAAACCATAAGCGTCATTGTTACAATTGCCAGCTATAGAAATTGGTCTTTATGGCACCTAGATAGTAAATCTGCCTTCTTGAATGGATCATTGGATGAAATGGTTTCTATTCAACAACTCTTTATGGCTTAAAGCAGGCGCCAAGAGTGTGGAACAAGAGGATAGATCAATTCTTAAATGGTTTGGGGTTCAGAAAGTGCACATTGGAACATTGAGTTTATGTTTTAAACAATGACTCAAAAGAAACTCTTCTAATTGCCCTGTATGTTGATGATTTACTTATCACAGGAGGTGATTTAAGTAAAGTAAATGAGCTCAAGAATAAATTGAAAAGAGAATTTGAAATGACTGACTTAGGAGAATTGTCTTTCTTCTTGGGAATAGAGTTCAGCCATACTAATCAGGGAAAAGTGATGCACTAAAGGAAGTATCTGACTGAAGTTTTAAACAGGTTTGGTATGCAATCTTGCAAAATAGCTGAAACTCCTGTTGAAACTAATCAAAAACTGGATGAATGTGAAGATGAATCAAGGGTTAATGCAACTCTTTACAGGCAACTAACTGGTTGTCTAAGGTTTCTATGTCATAGTAGACCTGACATTCTATATGGAGTTGGCTTGGTGAGTAGATACATGGCAGATCCCAAGCATTCCCATCTGACTAAAGCTAAGAGAGTTCTGAGGTATCTGAAGGGAACACTCAGCTATGGAATTTTATTTTCCAGAGATAAATTGGAAGATCAAAGTCTGCACCTTACTGCTTATACAGACTCTGATTGGTGTGGAGATAAAACTGATAGGAGAAGCACAATGGGTTATGTTATTTACTTGGAGAATATTCCAGTCTCTTGGTGTTCAACAAAGCAAGATGTTATGGCCTTGTCTATCTGTGAAGCTGAGTACATAGATGCATGTCATGCTACCTGTCAGGGAATCTGGCTTCTATTTTTATTGAAGGATCTGAAGCAGCAAGTTGATACCAAAATATATAGGGATGTTTGTTGACAACAAATCAGCCATCAATCTAGTCAAAAATCCAGTTTCACATGGCCGTAGTAAACACATTGAGACTAAGTTCCATTTTCTCAGAGATCAGGTTGATAAAGGAAGAATATGGTCGACTCACTGCAGTACTGAAGACCAGATTGCTGATGTACTAACTAAAGCTCTGAAGGTGGATAGCTTTAGAAAATTTAGAAGCTTGTTGAATGTAATCAGCTTGTCTTAGTATTTTTGTGTTTGAAATAGATTTGGTATTATGAGGGATGTTAAATAATACCAAATAGAAATACTATTAATACGTGTACTGCGGTGAAGGAATAAGAAGCTTT